TCTTTGTCGCAACTAGAGGTAGATTGCGGTTAGCACTGAGTTTAACTAGATTCGGTTAGCTCAAACCATTACTAATGAAGATACGGCATTCTTATTTCCAAAGCTAAAGTAACTGGGTTGGGTCTAATTGGAAAAAAGGTAGAATATTTTGCGTTTCATTGCTTATTTGTGAACCTAGATACATACCTATATTTATTGTACATACCTACTCATACTAAAACATTTTTGACTCACATTTTTCATAGGTATTTTTTCAGTAGGTAATTTAGACATTATTTTAAGTCGAATCAAGAGAATGTTACTTACATAATATAACATCACGCCTGTTTATCCCCGAAGGGGAGGGTAGAGGCATTACGACACTTAACGCACCTGCACAATGTAAAATCCACTATTAATGTTATGAGTCCCATATACCGGGTATAATTCAAGACCCCGTACTACTACTGAGACTTTTTTAAAAACCTATTAATATTTTACCCGACCCAGGAATCGAACCGAGACCCCGTGCCTGGCAGTCGCACTTGCGAACACTTGGCCAACGAGGCAGTCATAAAATACTTACTATGAATATTTTACAGAACAATAAATTCTACGAACAAATATAACTCTCCCGAACACGTCGTTTATCCGCGAGGGTTTTTGTGTTCGGTCCCGTGACGTCACAATTTTTATTCTGTTCGGTCATTTAGATAGTGCCACAGCGAATTGTTTGATGCCTTTTATTTTTATAGACACCAACCATTGGTATTTTTATTTGCCTATTTACTAATATTACGTAATGCGAGGACCAGCAGACTACCTATTATGTAGATTTTTTCATTAGTAACAAGTGTAGTACAATTGGGTACTTGCCAACTAGTCAAATTCAATACTTTTTTCGAAATGTCAAAAACGACAGTTTTCTATGAATTTTGTACGAGATTGTGTATTGTGACGTCACGTTTTTTTAGCATCAAACAGCATACTTATTTCTTAAGAATTTGTTGAAAAAATACTAATATTAAGTTACGTTATGAAATCAATTAATGAATGTGTGATATTTTTTATTATTTTATCGTATTGAACAGTCGAAATAATTTACGTTTGATTAAGGAAAGTACCAAGAAAACGATGTAACTAGAGAATTGCATTGTAAGCACGATTGAAAATGAGTAACCTATGGAGTTTCATGCTCGTTCTTCTCCATAGGAATCTACACCTTGGAATGAGCAACTAGCTTCACTTCTATTGTTGTTGACGTTCAAAAGTGCCTTTCTAGTCTAATTGAAATAAATGATTTTAACTTTGATTTTGACTTTACTCAATTGTTGAGTTGTTAGAAAAGATACCTAATAGCGTCAACATCGTCTCAACTATCTGAATTGGGAAATAAAAAAATACGTTTAATGTAGGTATATTACAATTAAATACAGAACTTTGTACCTGTCAATATTAGGAACATGTTATCTCTTTACTACACACTCACACAACAAAACACAAACGCTACACGAAGCAAAACACACACTACACATTGTTTGTGAACACAAATTTTAATTAAGTACATACTTTGGTAGGCATTGCCGCTGAAATATCTATGTAGAGGTGTTACATAAGTACCTAGTAAATTGTAACAGTATTTTATCGTAATTAGTTACCGCCAGAGAGCGCCGTGTACCGTGTGCGAACTGCGAACATCTGTCTCTTCCTGCTCGAGTTTGGTGGATGACATTCATTTATGGAATATATTTTTTACTACACGTTGCCCGCGATATCGTCCGCGTAGAATAATTTTTGTTTTAATTTTTAAGAAAATTTTAGGAAATACCTAATTGTTTTTTGTTTTAATTTTCCAAAATAAATGTAGCCTATGTTACACCTAACTGCCAATAAAAGTCCCGTCAAAATCGGTCCAGCCATTCCAAAAATTAGCCAGTGTAAACAGACAGACAGACAAAAATTGTAAAACGTGTTTTGATATGTGTTTCGTATGTATATTCATATGCATGTAGTAAAAAGCGTTTATTTTAATATTACAAACAGATACTCCGATTTTATTTATCTATATAGATTTGTTTAATGTTTGTTTATGATGGTTGACGTTCTTTTAGCTAAGTATTGAAAAATAAAGTATGGTTTGTTTAAATAGCAGTTGTCTACTGTGCATTTGTAGTGTACCAAATGTTTCGTTGATTTGTAGGCATGCTAAATACTTTCAGTAGTTTGAGGTAGGTATGTGCCTTGGAGTGATATTTCTGGTTCGTCGATTGAGCTTTTACTCAGAAATCGTCAAAAATAAATGTAATTTTCTTACTTTCTACAACAAAAATAACCTTTGAGAAAGTTGTAGCTATAAATAAATATACTTTACTAAAGTATCCACCTACTTGGTATATTTCCATCTAAACTTTTATCATTATCTTTGAACAAGAAACTTTCAAACTTAACGATATCATTATTCCAAACGCGATTCATAGAAACCATAGATTATATAGATTCATAGACAAGTATGGAGGCGTCATACCAAAATACTTGGTAGGTATGAAAATATCTTTGACGCCTAAGTAATGGTATTCCGCCCTGTGGGCCCAAGGTAATCAACCGAGGTGGTTACCCCGCGTATGCCGTCTCAAATTTAAATGTATTAATATTTTTGGGCTCACATCAAAAAGAGATTGAAGTGGATCACGATTTGAATAATTTTACATAGACCTGCCGGGTTACCATGCAAATAGGAGATTGACTTTATACTCACCAAACAACGTACTTATCCCTAGATATAACCGTATAACGAAATACTATTTTAGATGCATTCGATTCAATCTGCGTTTACCACACTGTTCTTTGTACCATGTTCTCAGAAACTCATTCATAAGACGTATGTACGTTTCGTATTTCTCTCTTCGAATTCGTACCCAGCGTCGGGCATATTTGAAACTTGGAATACCGAAATTAAAGCCGATGTTTGCCTATTAGGTAGTAGTGCACTCTCGACTAGCAGATGCGGTAGTCGGAACGCTAGCAGTGAAGTATTGAAGCAAATATTCAACACGTTTCCGCAAACGTCTTTACATTTTTAATACGTGCAACGTTTCCAACGAATAGCTACGGTAACATTTGTCGACAGATAAAATCTAGCGGACCGTACTAGCTTCCAGATTTTCTCCTTTGTATGTCGTAAACAGATTCCTGCCTTTAAATTTTATGTCGACACCTTACTTTGTATGTGATCTGATACGGATTCTTCTGGCGGTAATAGCGTAAATTGCTCCCATGCAGTTTTATAGATTCAAATGTGTATGTTTCTACACAACGAATTGTGGTTTCAGGAATACGTAGCACAACAATAGCTCGTGGCCAATTACCAATTAGCGAACCTAAACAGCCGACGGGCTCGTTAACTTGTTGCTATGTTTGATATGGTTTGTGTAAGTTCGGACACTAAATATCGATTGTGACGATGTTACATACATGCATAGCATGTAGGTTCCTGACATTTCGAGCTTATAGATTGCAATCTCAAATAGCGAGTACACAAACGCGTGTAATTATAAATGTTGCGAGGAATTATCTACGAGCCTCGTAGTAATTGCTATACGGCTTAGCTTGGTTAATTAACTTTATAAATTCACGAACAGCGCACTGTGAGATCATCCAAAATTTTGTTTTCAAGCAAAATCAGCAGTTCTATGTAGCCTCCAAACTGAGGCGGGTACATAATACCAATTTAAATCTCATAGGTACTTGCTAACCGTAGTAAGCAACAATTTAACATTTTTAAATTTAGCGACACCCAAATTTTATAAGTAGGTATCACAGATTATGAAATAGTTAGGTACCTACTTAGTAAACTACCTATTATGCTAAAAACATAGAAAAAGTTTCCTTTCTCGAGACGAAAATTAAGTTAATACTTTACACAGCTGCGCAAATCTAAGACAGGTGTATCATAATCCTCCGAAGAATAATCTCGGTGTAAAACTTAAGCCGTGACGTTGCGTAGTTAATAAAAATTTTACAAGGTACGGGCAGACTATATCGCTCACTTCCACTCAACAAGATTTGCGGAATTTCTGCAAATCCAGAGTCACGTAGACGAAATATACTTTGAATTAAGGTCAGACGAAACGAAAGATAAAGGATAAAGTTAGGTAAAATTACTGGGACATATCGTCTAATGTGATTGCTCGATTTACTACAAACCTTATTAGGTTGGTACATGCAATAATTAGGGTTTAGTTTAGGGATTAGGTTCCATACACACGTCAGTAAAGTACCTATTCTACAACAATTACTTAGGTACCTTCCTTAATTCTCTACATCTCAGTTTCCTAAACTCTCACCGGATGCGCTTCGCTTCAATTTAGATACCTCTATAATTCAGGTCTAGAAGTTGATTTTCTGACAGGAAGGCTAATTTTCTGTCGCGGAGCGGAACAAGTTTGCAGGGAAATATTCAGAGTTGAAACTTTTCGTAATGGTTTCTTTGTTAAATGTGACTGAAGATTTTGAATCTTAGAAGTCGGTTGGTAAACTGTGTCAAAGTTCAGATGGACTAAATGTATAATAGTTTAATATTTCTGAAAAACTTTTTAGTGCTCCTAAGCTTTAACTGTTTGTAAACTTATTTATCTACTGGTTTAAAATGTTTAGATTTCTTGATGTAGGTAAAGATTACGAAGTTTTGTCACTCAAGTCTATATTTACTGCTATATACACAGCGTGCTACACTTAACAGCACGTTGTGACGTAACGGCCGAAATGACGACGAAAATAAAAAAATTGTGTGTAATATTTTTTCATTATGTAATGGTTCAAATCTCTGAACCTGCAGAATCAATTTGTTATGCATCTTATTTTAACTTTTTGATTGGCATTGAGATTTGAGCTTGATAAATTAAATCAAAAGTTAATAAATAAAAAGTCTATAGGAGCAATTTGACAGTGTGCTGATCATAGTGGTTGTTGGCAGGCGCTTGCGCAGGCGGGGCCCCGGGGGGCGGTGAGTGTGGCGCGGGCGCATGGCGCTGCTGTACCGCGCGACGCGGCTCAAGGACCGCGCCGACACCCACGTGTTCACCTTCGTGGTGACACGCTCGGCCACGCGCGAGCCCGACCGCGATGTCACCTCCAAAGACTTCTGCTGCGCGCACCAGCGCTGGGCGGTCGCTTTCAGTCGCACCGATGCATCACTCGGTTAGTGAATATCTCCTGAAAATGTACCCTGTAATAACGTTATCTTTTGAAAGTCTAATTTTGTTCCGTTGTTGCAGGTGTGTACTTGGTGTGGCGTGGCGCGTGCGAAGGAATGCGGGTGTATGTCGATTTTACATTCACGCTCCTCAGCCGCGATCATTTTACGGCCAATGAAGGGTTTTCCGGCAAACAGGTGCGTTTCAGCGCAGGCTGCGCTGCGCAGGGCCGAGGTCGCTGTGTGTCCATCGCCGAACTTAACACCAAGTTCGCTGATGCGAGGGGTGAGTTCCAACTGGAACTCAGTATGTCACGGGTGCGCACGCTATACTCTTGTGAACTACGCGCACCCCGCCTTGATACACCACCCATAGCTTTCGCCGGATTTGACTGGCAGGTGTCGGCAACTGGCGGCGGTGGCAAGGAACCGCTGACATTACGGTTAATGAGATTATCAGGGGAAGGACAACGCTGTCGCGTAAGATATGCACTTGCACTTGGCGAAGGCGAAAGAAGACTACATTCAGGCCCGTTGGAGTGTGTTTGTGACGCTGACGGACGAACGCCACCCTGGAACCCTCGACCACCATCCCGACTTCTAACAAAAGGGGTTCGGTTAACTGTAGAACTAGTATGGGCGCGTGCACTGGCCGAACTGGCGGTGCCGGCAGCGGGCCGCGCGGCTACGTGCTACGACCGCGACAAGCAGGCGTGGGCGGTGCGCTGCGACATGCACTCTGAGATGGTGAGACTGCATATGTTGTACCGGGACGTGCACCACGTGCCACGCAACCACTTGCGTTATGTGAGCTGGTCGGCCTGGCTTGTGAGATCAGGTGTCGCAGCTGGTGAACCTGATGCGGAAGAACTACCTGGAGCACCCTTCGAGCATTACTATGCACAAGACAGTGCTGATGAAGGGCTCATGATGGAAACAGCATTACGCGTAGAGGACATGTCACGACCTGGGAGCGCATTCTTACATCCAGGTGGTGAACTACGTGTACGTCTCGAATGGGGCGATACTTACCTACTCTTTCAAGCTACTTATCATGTCTATGATGACCTTTGTCGGCTGCACGCGCATCAAATGAGGTGTGTGTCATAGTAGTGTATCGGCAAATAAGGTACTGTAACGTTATTTTCATTTAATTGGATTTTATTCTGCAGGCGCGAGATTGCTGTTCTTCAGGCGGAGAACTATTCGTTGGAGCGACAGCTGTTCAGCTATCAAAAAAGCCTGGCCTACGCACAGGCGCAGGCAGGTGAACCGGCAGTGGCGGAGACGAGTGGAAGGCGTTCCCCCGCGGAGCGCTCGCTCTCTACCGACACAGAGTACGCGTGAGAAGGGCCTGAGGACTTCTCTTTGTCGTCGCCTATGACGTCGCCCGTTCTCTACTCTTCTATCTTTTCGACTGATTCTGACGTTTTTGAGCGATTTATCTATTTTTCTAGACGTTTTATGGCGAGGTGCGCCCTCGTCCGCACCGCTTTCCGCCGGTCGCCTGCACTCTCGCCGCTCGATTCTATCGATAGCCGATAATTATACTCGACTACTTTTCTATTTGTCTGTACATAAATATATTTAGAAGATATTATATATTATGTATATTTCTTAACTTGAAACTCGAATTCATATACTGCAACAGTCGATTTATGAATAAAAAAAGTCCGTAAAATAAATACCAATTTTGTCTCTTTATTTGTATCTTTTCTTGATATCCCTTATGAATAATAACTATCTGTGTAGATTTCCATTAGAAAATAAATATTATTTATCTACAACATCCTTGTAGTTCATAGATTATCTTTACAAAAATAAAATCTGTAAAAAAGTAAAGGACACCTGTATGGTAAACTGAAACATGCTTAAAATTACAATATCCACGACACGGAACGCCGCACAGTTGTCAACTGTCAATGTCAAGTGTCAATGTCAACGTCATACTTGACAAACTCAACTAAAGGCAGAAGCAGAACCACGTTGTTGTGTTTGTTTTGGAATCGTCTAGTATTACAAAGTAAAACGTAAATATGGCTCAAGGAAAACTGAAAGTAAAAAGCAAATTACCAGCTGGAGCGAAAGCAAAGAAAAACAAAAATAAGGCAGGTAAAGCGGTGACCAAACGTCCAAACGCGCCGGTAAAGAGTAAAACTGCTGCTGAACGGAATAAGATGAAGACAAATGTGTCGAAGATGGTGAATGCTGCAGCTGAACAGCAGTTGAGAGCTCTAGCCACGAATACTCCACAGTTGTCTGCGGCACAGCAACGAGTAGCTGCGGCTCCCACAGCGCCTGCCCCAGCAAAATAACCTTACTTCTAAACAACGTTCTTCGTGTAAATTATTGTGCGTAATTGTGATCATACTACTTTATTATAACTAAGGCAGTAAATCAAATTCATTGATAAGGAATAATAGACAGATTTTAAAGGAAAAACAAAACTACTTATTAGAAAAAAACGGATGTTTCTACGGGTTAACCCAGATTGTGTAACATTTTTTTTAAGGACAGAACGATCTAGGTAGACATGCATTCAGCCTATTATGTTCTGTTATATTCAAATGTCATTAACTTCATTAAAGTATTTCTATACAATGTGTAAAACATTTGCGATTAAATTAAAATATATTCAGTAACAACTATGTAAGCAAATGACCAAAAATCTTATTCTACAACTACTGTATTAATGGAGTTTATTCTGCACTTACTTCAATGTATCTTTACAAATATTTTGTAATATAAACTTGTGAAATATTAGAATTATAAGTGAAGTTTAATCTTTAAATTAAAACTATTTTTGTTTTAATCATTGTTTTCTTTGACCGCTATATAAATTAATATTAAATATTTATTTCGTTATTTATGTTGTGTATATAAATAAATAAATAAAATAATTTGCTAATATTGTCCCTCGAGGGATTATATTGTGTGGTAGGAATACACATATTATGCCAGTTATGTTAACAAAATTAATATAGTCTTAATATGGAGATCAAAGATTTGATTCAATATTTATGAAGAGATGTTAAACCGATGACTATCGACCCACAACTCTTTCATACTTTTTATATTGCTCACTACAGTGGCTCGGCAAAGCCGGTCTGATGATCTTTATTTCATTTTGAGATACACTTTATACTCTGACAAATAGAGAAAGCAATATATTGCTTAAATATTTCATTTACATTAATAAATTAGCACCTTGACCATATATGGAATAGGCTTTATCTTTAAAAATGACTTAATAGATGTAGGCTGTAGGCTATAACATTCTGTTGAAATGAAAATAATAATATTCTTAACTAGCTTCGTATTTTATTACACCGGTTTTATATGTTTTATGGCTTATGTTAATTCAATATTGAAAATGCATTATTATTTCTTTATTAACAGTATTGTAGGCAGTTAAAGTTTATATGGTTACCTTAACTGATCAGGTGGTAATGCCAGTTAATTAAAAATTGCAATGGAAGGTAAGTAGACTTGATATTTTAATAGGGTAAGTGTGTTCATATACATCAAGTGGTTCGAAGTCTAGACTTAGCTGATAATAACACTGGTCAACAAAATTCAAACTTTTTCGTGCCACACGGACTTTTTTGATATTTTTTACTTTAGTTGGTGATTGTAAGAAAAGATAAACAGTTAAAAAAAATTTGCTAGCCAAGGATTTTATTCTATTGAGTAATTAAAAATATTAAGAAAAAATACAGATCTCGTAAATCAAACTTTTTTTTTATATAAATTACTTAATAATTTAAGATTTTCTTAAATGTTTAGCTTCTGGTTGGTCCCTTTTAATTGTCCAGCAGTAATCCGCTAACATATTTGGGCTCCATTTTCCCTGGTACCGCTTTTCCATACTAGAAATGTCCTGGTGGAACCTCTCGCCGTGCTCGTCACTGACAGCCCCTAAATTGTCAGGAAAAAAATCCAGGTGCGAGTCTAAAAAATGGATCTTGAGTGACATGTTGCAACCCAATGCTTGATATGACAATAAGAGCTCGCTAACCAACTCTCTGTAGATGTCACTCTTGTGGTTGCCCAAAAAATTTGCAACAACATTTTTAAATGCGTTCCATGCACATTTTTCTTAACCGCTTAATTTTTCTTCAAATGTTGAATCTTTTATTAACTCCCTGATTTGAGGGCCAACAAAAATACCCTCTTTTATTTTTGCATCACTTATTTTAGGGAATTTTTCTTTTAGGTACAAAAATCCACTCCCACTGCGATCCATTCCCTTCACAAAATTTTTTATTAATCCTAATTTGATATGCAATGGTGGTAAAAGCACATTATTTGGCTCTACAAGGGGTAAATACTTTACATTTTTTTGGCCAGGAACTAACGACGCACGCATAGGCCATGTTTTTTTTATATAGTGATTAGTTCTGTCTCGGCTATCCCATTCACATAAAAAACAGCAAAATTTTGTATAACCCAGCTGAAGTCCAAGTAATAATGCAACAACTTTAAGATCACCGCAGATTTTGAAGGAATATGTACTGTAATTTATTTTTTCAAGTAAAACTTTCATATTTTCATAGGTTTCTTTCATATTTGAAGCATGGGCCACAGGAACAGACGGAAGCATATTTCCATTATGCAATAAAACTGCTTTTAGACTTGCCTTCGAAGAATCAATAAATAAACGCCACTGAGAGATTTCAAAATCTATGTCCAACATTTTCATGATCTCATTTATGTTATTGCAAAACACCAAATCTCCATCCTGAGAAAAATACGTTCTGAAGTGTTCATCACGGTTTCGAAAATAGCTAACTTTTGTATTATGATGTAGCAAATTCCATTCTTTTAGCCGAGATCCTAATAGTTCCGACTGCTTTTTTGACAAATTTAAATCCCTAACCAAATCATTTAGGTCTCCTTGAGTTATCAAATGTGGCTCCTTTTCAATTCCTTCAAACTCAAAGTCATCATTCTCGTCAAAAGACCGACTTGAAGTAGACGGTTGTGAATGGTCGTTATCAACAGACGTTGTTGCAACTGGTATTAGTTCTGGCATTTTTTTACAATGAGAGACTGGTCTTATAGCAGAAGATACGTTAGGGTAGATAACTGTTTTTTTTTTTTTGTAATTTATACCTTTTAAGTCAGTGAGACAAAAATAGCAATCCGAAACGTGATCTCGCTGTTCAGTCCATATCATGGGTACAGCAAAAGGCATAGCTCGTGCACCTTTCTTCCAGTCGGTTAAATTTTTCACACACGTTATGCAACAGACATGAGGGGCCCAGAATTTGTCTTGATGGGCGACAGAAAAACCAAAACATTGGTGATAACACTCCAGCACAAAATTCGTAAAATTTCGTCGTTGTTTTTTGAATGTAAGTTCTCCGCAGATATAACAAAAAGAGTTAGGGTTATTTTTACACTTCCTCGACATGTTCACAGGATTAATAAATCACAAAAAATATTCAAATTGAACTACAAATACTTTTATGACTATTTACTTGTGAGCGTTTCTGTTAATTTACCGCCGTAGTACTAGTTATGAGTATTACCGTATCACAACAAATATGAGGCTAACAGACAAATGAAAACTGTGATTTAATGATGAGGGTAGATTGATAAAACAAAATTAGCTATCAAAGTTCGTGTGGCAAAATCAGTGTTGACCAGTGTAAGCGGCCGATAATCCGCTTTTAGTCATTTCTGCTGTAGGTATGTTGTTTGTCGCCAATAATGGAAGTATCAAAGATAGAAAGGTAATTAGGTACATAAAATGTAACACTTCCATTTAATTAATTCCATTCCATTTTCTCACTCCTTAAAACAAAATCCTATTCCCCAAACTTGTCGCGGAGAACCTTACGGGTTACCGGGGCTCCAGCTCGATGTGCAGGAGAAGGAACGGGGTGGTTTTTAGTCAGTAAGAATCTGACACTCCCTCCCGCCTCACCCGAGCGGGAGCAGTCATTCGATGATTTTCCCCACTTAAAAAAAATCCCCAAACTTACAAACACGCGCCCAATAATGTAGGTAAAATGTGAAGTTTTTACCTAAGTATAAAAAATTTATGTATCCTTATTGTTTTCTTACAAGTTCTCATTTATTATACTAGTGCTTTCGATATCAGATTTATAGCCACAAATAGATAAGAAATAGATAGTAATTTAAGAATCGAAATATTTATATCGAGACATAATTTATTTATGATGCATAAATATTTAAATTAATCGTGTGTAGACAGTGTGTTAATACCTACCAGACGACAGACGAATAAAATTAAGTACCTACGTATATTAATAAAAATAACAACACATGATAATAAGTGTGCGAGAGCCATGCTTCGGCACGAATGGGCCGGCTCGACC